TGGGAAGCAGTGGTGATGAGTTATGGGATGGTAAGGAGATAGAATACAGGGAAAACAGAAAGCTGTCTTATTTCTCAGATAGTTATCAGCCTAAACTCTCACTGTAGATCATAGGTCAGAACCTTCCTGGATGAGGCAGGCATTGATAACCTTCAATCTCCTTTCTTTGTAAGAGTGACAGGGAGGATAGGGAAGGAGAGTGGGCAGTGTGACTAGGTCTTCACTGTAAGAAATGCTTTAATCAAATGCCATAAACTAAGAGCAAGCTTGCCCATGTACTGTGTACATAAGGAGGGAATAAAGCCAAAGCACCATTGTTGGGTTGTTGGTCTCTGTGCCCTAGCAGCATTTTTGCGAGAATGAGTTCCTGGAGAAAATTCATAAGAAAATGCTGGTATAAATCAGAATTACTCAACAGGCTTAGGCTACAGTCAAACTTTAGGCCCTGTTAACAGGATCTTACTCTGCCATCCCTTCTGCTCTCTGGTCCCTTCTGTTCTCTGTTGCTGTTGAATGAATTTAAATTTTTATTTATTTTTTACTCTGTGTGTGTGCATGTGTGTGTGTGCATGTGTGTGTGTGTGTGATTTCTATGCGTACACCACACACCACATGTGTACAAATGCCTAAAAAGGCAAAAGAGGATGTCAGAAAGTCAGATCCCCTGGAATTGGAGCTATCAGTCATTGTGAGCGGCCTGGTGTAAGTATGGGAAAACCAACCTAGGTCCTCTGCAAGAGCAGCAGGTATTCTTAGCTGTTCAGCTGCTTCTCCATTCCCAATTGTTGGATTAATGCAGATGCTTCACAGGGAGCAGTGTAGACCAGAGGCATTCCGTAGGAACCACTGTAGGCACTCTGAAGGGTTGGGGGCCTTTGCAGAGGAAAACAGTCTCACAGCTGGGAGTGGACAGAACACCACTGTGATGATCCACGTGTTCTGCTAGGCTTTCTGTTTCCGGCACTCACGGCTTCTCAGAGGGCAGTTTCCTTGTTCAGGTAAAAAAAAAAAAAAATTCCTTTGGCGAATATGATAGGATGTCCTTGTTCTTTTCCAGGAGGCCTCCAATAGACAGTAATCTTCTGGGCACTTCAGAAGGTCAAGTTTCCACCCAGAGCCAGAGGTAGACTCAGATTCCATTCTTTGGCACAATCAGCAGGGCTGCTGTTTCGGCTCCTTATTTTACAAGGCTCTGATTATGGGAGAGGTACCCATCTTCCATGACCACAGTGTTCTAATATTTGACTATCTGTATAATAACCTGCTGTCCTTAGAGTTTCTGATTCCAGATGCCTAGAACGGACACCGAGGATGTGCACTTTCCAGGTCCTTACGAGTGCTAAGGAGCCTGTGGTTCTTGTTATCACAAACTAATCAAGACCACATGAGCCTCTTTACATTGATTCTTTATGGTAACCAGGTATACATACTTACATTAAAAAAATCTTAATTTATGACAATCACACCAAATAAAAGTTATACAAAACGTAAATTTATAAGGAGCAAGTTGTAGAAGTATACAATGACAAGCCATTATCAAATCTCCCAGGGTGTCAGGGATGTAGGGTTTCTCTCTGTAGCTTTGGAGGTTGTCCTGGAACTCACTATTTCAACCAGGCTGGCCTTGAACTCGCAGAGATCTGACTGCCTCTGCCTCCTAATGCTGGGATCAAAGGTGTATGCCAGCACCACCCAGCTGCTGGTGTTTAAGAGATGACTCCCCTTTCAAGTGTTACCTACTTAAAAGTTAATTGTATCCTCTTTGGAAACTGAGGTCTGCAGGGGCTAAAAGACAGCTTGAAAAATGTGTGATAACATCTGAAGACGAGGAAAGCTGTGATAGCATTGAGAAACAGGGTATACCACACTTAGAATGGTATCATCCCTTTATGCAGGACATGCCTCTGGGATGCTATCTGTTAAGCTCTATGATGCCATATGCTAGCTCAAGATCCACATCCATGCAGCAATTTCTGTGACACCATGAGCTCACTGTTATAGCATAGTTCTGCAATATTGGCTTCCGTGTATATGATTCGTCTTCACTTACGGAGGACAGAATCCTGAAATCATCTCAATTATAAGCACATTTGCTTATTTGACGATGACATCATTTGTGTTTAAAAATAAACATTTGCCTATCTCTTCAGGAGTCTCATGTTTCTCTGAATGATTTAGTTCAGAAACGGACTGATTACTACCCAATATAGCTTTATAGGGGATAGAGTACACTGGTGTCTAGCAAGACTGCCTTGCATCTCTCTGCCTCAAAGAGCAGATGAGGCCCCAAATAAGCCTTGGCCAAGTGATGCTTTTGAAAATCTTTTAGAAGCATGCTGCTCAGGCTTCAACCTTGCCAACGGTGACACAGAGAGATGAGCCCCAATACCCCTGATGTCAGTCACATGCCCTAAAGCATAAGGCGACTTGGTTAGATTTCCACTTTCACACAAGCCATAGCATCCATGAATCAAGTCAGACAAAGCAATTAGGGTCAGTAGGTATAGGTTAGAGCCTTTATACCAGGATGCCCAAAGGATAGTTCCCAAACTCCAACTGACTTCAATGTCAGTTGAATGAAATTCAAAATATCTAGGATGGGCATGAATCTGTATTCTTTTTCAAATCTGTTCCACCACCTCCATTGTCAGCATGCACCTGCTCATACCCAGCTAGCCTTTTCTGCTAGCCTCCAACACTGTCGTCCATACTGCCCAGAGCTCTTTACACCTTCCCACCCTTTGACTGTGTTTGTCCTACTTAGACAAGTCTTTGTTGCCTAGTCGGGAAAACGTAGGTAATCTTTAACCAAAGTGATTAACGTGGTACTTCAAGGCTAGCACTTGGTGAACGTGAGCGTGAGTATGCCTTTAATTGTTATGTTTTCAATCTCAACCTGTCAGGCGCGTCAAGCAAGAGCCTGCCAAATTCAGTGCCTTCTGTCATTCTCTCATGGCTGAGTCTTCCTGAGCCACCAGAGACCCTCAGACTTCTGCACCTGTGCAGAGAAAGACTCTTCTTTCTTTGTGGACTGTGCTCATTCTTTGCAGGAATTCTTTTGTAGAAAGAGTCTTCATTTCAAATCATTCACCTATGCTATATTATGGAAAATCTCTCATCCACTGAAAATGTATAATTTTCTATGACCTTTTAACATGTATACTTTAAAACTGAAAATGGCTGCAACACGCCTATAACTCCACACTGAAAACACAGAAACAAGAACAGCCTAAGTGTGAGGCCAAGGCCAACATGGCCTACAGAGTGAACTTGTCTCACTATTTGAAATATAGGTGCATTTGAAAACATACGTGGAGATAGTAACCTTGGTTAAAATTCAGTCTTAAATATGTATTACTAAAACATTCCTGTAAATCACTAGGGGGAAGTACTTTGTTTTAAGGGATATTATGCAGCAGTGATCTTACGAATATATCCAGCTCCCACATACATTTAATCTGTTATAGTCTGTGCCTCACTTACAGCACAACATAGGGAATTGAAAAGTAGAGCCAGGCAAGAAAAACAAAACAAAGTATTCTGTCAGAGCAGCTTTCCACCCTTAGGATCAGGGCAATGCAGCCTGTCACTGATGTCACAGTTAACTGCAGCATGGTTGAACTTTCTGTTGGATTCACATTATGTCTTCTGGTGTTCTGTGTCGTTAGAAATGTGTACCTGGTGCATGAGTGTGCTCTCTGTTCAAACTGTTTCTAATATAGAGTTTCCTTATCCAGTGCTCTTTCAATAAAGGTACCTAGGCCTTTGAGAACATTTTATCAGAATGATGCAAATTAAGGTGTAGACTATTTGTTTATTTATTAAAATATATTAAAATAGATGACCCCACCTGCTCTAATTGATCTAACGAAATCATTGCCATTTTTACTAGGAAAATGAAACATGCAGCTTAATATGCAATGGGAAGTAATGAGTAACCCAACAGATGCAGTAAACCTTCAATGAGATTTATAGAAGTAATCCTAAAAAGTTTTGTCCTGCAGAGTGTTGGAATCTAGTACTCTCCTTGTTTATCCATGCACCACTTCAGCAAAGGCTTTTATCTTCTCCATGAACATTAATAAATATTTCAGAGCAGATGACTTTCTGTTTCAAGTAGTGTGTCCAAAACTCCTTAAAAAGAATTTGAAGTGAATATACAAGAGGAGATGCTGCAGATCTATAAATCCCAGTCCTGAAAAGGCAGAAGCAAGAATGTCTCAAGTTCCAGACTTGTGGAAGCTATGTCGACAGTGGCTCAATATCTGCCCCCTCCTAGTAACAAATAGCAGCCTTAGGAAATACAGATTGCCTTTAAAACAGAATCTCCAAAACCACAGATGAAAGAATGATCATTTCAGGTACTTAAGAGCCACAAAGCCTCCTAATCATGACATCAATGCTGGAGAGAAACATCACCTAGAACTCCCTAAGGAAGCCCGGGGAGGAAGCAGAAGGACAGAAAGAATGAGGAAACCTCCCTGCTTCTCCATGCCCCATTTAGATTTCAACCCTGAGTTTGCTTTTGAGTTTTTCAGTTCAGCCTCCTGAGTGCACACATCCTCGGTTATGTAAAATCTTGTAGACCCAGTGAGTGAGTGTTCCTCAGTCACATTGGAGAAAGAGAAAACATGCTTTGTGAAAAGAGTAGGTGAGAATTCCTCTGCTAGAACCTTTGTTAGTTCTTCCTTGGAGCCCAGCATCTCTGCTGGCAGAACAAAGGCAATGCAGGTATAAATTCTTACACCTCCACACTCTAAGAAGAAAATGTTGATGTGTTACTATTCAGCTTCTTAAGAGAAGCAACTGGATATTTCTTCCTTCTGCCTCTTAGAATTTAATTCCCATTGCTTTATACGCATCATTTTAAGGACATCCCTGTCCAGCATTAAGCATGAATGGTACCTGTTATTGAAAGAGAGTCTGTATTTGTGGTAATACAGAGAATGCCAGTTTAGAAATGAGCCTGATTGCATGGTTCATTGTGTTCTCCTTTGTAGAGCCAGGCTGCGGCCCACTACAAAGGCACGAAACATGCCAAGAAGCTCAAAGCACTGGAAGCCATGAAAAATAAGCAGAAATCTGTCACTGCCAAGGACAGCGCAAAGACTGCCTTCACCTCCATCACTACCAATACCATGACCACCAGCTCTGACAAAACAGGTTAAGCAATGATCTTTGTTGTTGTCCTTCTCATGGTTTGGGGGTTCCCTTCTTTGTCTAACCCCATGTCTGTTCAAGTACGTGCCCGCTACATCGACACACTCTGGAGTCCATCTGTGTGATGGTAATTGGTCCCTTTCATTTTCCACAACCCTGACGAGGATCGCTAGTTTCCTAATGGATTTTGCATACTGCAGTAGTCTAATGGCTGTTTAGAGAGAGCCAGTTGTTATGATTATCTGGAAGCCAAGGTCCCCGCTCTTTCAGGCATGGGTTTTGTGTATGTCTTCAACAATTTCTGCACAATACTTACAGTATAACTGCATGAGAGATTGGTCTAGCCTTGAACACACAGCTAAATCCACTGATTGAGTGAGTGGGGCAGAGCTGGATGGAGCTACTACTACCCCTAGGCTTTATTTGCATAAATTGCAAGCCCTGCATTGTTTTCAGTGTGTCTATGTGCTTGGGCTCCTGATAGCTGGGTAACCTTCCTTCCGCATGTGCAGGTAAGTGTTCTTAATGCCTTTTGTTCTTCTTAAGGAGCTTCACCGGAAAATAATGGCCTGCTGATTGGCTACTGGGTTAGTGTGCAAATGACCAGCTTATTCACAGCTAAGAAGCTAGTGGGTTTCCCTAAGCCGACATTTAAAATATGAGAGTGCAGGTCCTTGGAATTTACTAAAAAAGTAGTCCTGCATGATTTGGGGACAGAGTGGTAACAAACTGCTTACTAGAGAATAAAATTTAGGAAACAGGGGCTAGTGAGACCACTTGCCTCCCAGAGTGTACAGATGGTATGGGTAAGAAGGAAATGCTTATAACCTCACTTATAGGGCTTAGTCAGAAGGGAACCTTTTGAGTATACACATAAAAATATTGATGCCTAGCAGGAGAACAGATTAAAGTAGTTGTGTGTTTAGTCCTTGGGGCTTACACAATACTCCAGTGATCTCTGATTGAGGAAACTTCCTTATAGATCTAAACGGGACTGTGCATTTTCATACCACATTGAGTATTCCATACCAACCTGCTATGGATGGGTATCCCTGACCCTTCTCTAAGAGTCTGTGTGCATCCCACAACTGAGGCTGCAAGCATCCTTCCCCTCCATGCTGGCACCTGGTCTCTTCTGTTGTAAATTGTAAATGATCATTTTAGTGTCGCTCTGGTAGGTTCTCTTTGTTGTCACCATTTGTCTTAGGGGTGAGCAGGCTGTTGCTGTTGGTGCTTATCATTTTCCCTCCTTAGGTATCTAGCAGAAGAGTGATGTTCTGCATTTTAATGTAAATGTAGAAGGTCATGGTAAAAACATTTGCTTTTTCTCTCACTGTTAAAGCCTTCCTGCTTGATTTTGGTGGTTGTAGAGGAATGTGCCATGATTTCTGTTGTCAAAAAGCAGTGTAAGAATGGGATTCCCAATGCTGCTCTTGTCATGGAGAAGGTACAGATAGTTTTCTAATGCAGAGAAGAGAGTGGCTGGGTGAAGAAAGAGTGTGATATTAAAGATTGGAGTACTATTTTTAATTACCCCAATTTTCAGGCACCAACATTGAAAAAATATATAATAATTTTTTGAGTGAGTAGTCTTTCCTAAAAAATATTTTATGTCTTAATGTCTTATCTCTCTCTCTCTCTCTCTCTCTCTCTCTCTCTCTCTCTCTCTCTCTCTCTCGTGTGTGTATTGTGTGGGCATGTGTATAGTACAAGTGCCCAAGGAATCAAGGAAAGACGTCTCAGTTCTATTGCTAAGAATAAACACCACGTCCACAGCAACTCTTATAAAGGAAAGCATTTAACTGGTACTTGTTTACGGTTTCCGAGATTGAGTCCATTGTCATCATGGTGGAGAGCGTGGTGACACACAGGCAATTATGGCACTGGAGAAATATCTGCGACTGTGTGTCTGAATCTGCAGGCAGTGGGAAGAGAGAGACTCTAGGCATATAGTGGGCTTTTGAAACCTCTAAACCCATCCCCAGTGACACACTTGCTTCAACAAGGCCACATCTCCTAATTCTCTCAAATAGTGCCAAAATTAGGCTCAGAACTAGTTTTCTAGAACAGTTAGATACTTGTCAGAAAAAGGGGGGGATGGGACTCTACAACCAAAATTTGTGTGTCTATTAAAAATAAGAAATCAGAACTCTGCTTTTCCTGCCCGAGAATGTTGTAATCTGTCATATTGTCTATGTATAAACAAGTTGAAGTACATTAAAACACATTTTTCTGATTTCACCAAATCATCTCACTAAAAATAATCCAATTATGTGAATACATTGTAAAATTATGAAAGGATGAATGAACTAAACAAAATCGGGGGGAAAAAACTAATTTAAAAAATTCGGAGATCCCCTAGAAGAACAGAGAGAGAAGCAAAGAGAACTGAAGCAGGTGCCGGGGAGCAGGGAAGTGGCAGGGAGGGAACAGGTGAGGGGAGCAGGACAGCAGCAGGGAGGGGGCAGGTGAGGGGGAGCAGGGCAGTGGCAGGGAGGGGGCATGTATGGGGGAGCAGGGCAGTGGCATAGAGAGAGGGAGATGGTATGGGCCTGAATCTGAAGGTAGATGTAGAGATGTAGGGATTGTCTCTGAAATATAGCTGTGGGGCAGTCAAAGACTGCCAAGATGGCTTAGCAAGAAAAAGCATTTAACACCAAACCTCATGACCTGGGTTTGAGCCCCAGAACCCACACAATATAAGAAGAGAAACAATACCACCATTGGTTGACCTCTGACATCCAAACATGTACTATGGAAAGAATAACAATATACATCATACACAGGCACACACACACAAACACACATGTATACATATCATAGGAGTTTTAATAAAAAAAAAAGATAGTAAAAGAAGTTTGAGTTGTAAACCAGCTTGAAAAGCAGAGATTTCGTCAGACATTTTCTCTTAAATTCTCAGATCATACAGTGATTAGAAAAATAAAGAAGAATTGTGCTTTTGGCCTAGTGTAATGTTTTCTTGTGTTTGTGTGTGGATGTGAATAGGAATGGTCTCTGTCTGCTGGCTCCTATATTTGAATGCATAGGAGGTGGCAAAATTTGAAAGGATGGGGGGGTGGGTTATGATCTTGTTGGAGGATGTCTGGTCTTGGAGGAAGTGTATTGCTGAGGTTGGGCTTTGAGGTTTTAAGGGCCCAAACCAGGCCCAGTGGCTCTTTTTCTTCCTGCTGCCTGCAGATCCAGATGTAGAACTCTCAGCTTCTTCTCCAGTACCATGTCTGCACTCCTACAAGCTGCCATGCTCCTTGCCATGAGGACAATGGGCTAAACCTCTGAAACTAGGCATGCCACAGTTAAATGCTTTTGGTTATGAGTTGTAGTGGTTATGGGGTCTCTTCAAAGCAATAGAACACTAAGACATATATATTCACACATACAAACAAGTATATACACAAACACACACATACACACACAATTAAAGAAAAAAGAATCCATGAATTTGAAAGAGAATAAGAGGGATTATATGGAGCACCTTTTAGGGAGGGAAGGGGGAATTGATATAATTGTATCATCTTTTCCAAACAACAACAAAACACAAAACTGGTCCATTGAGAAAGCTCCATAGGTAAAATCATTTGCTGCTGACCTCATAAGCTTTATGACCTCAATTCATTTCCTAGAGCCACTGTAGTAGAAGAGACCTGACTCCTACAGGTTGCCCTGTGTTGTTCACAGATGCTCCAAACAGGCCCACACTTAAATTCATACACGCAATAATACTAAATAAAATATAAATTTAAAAACTATAAAACTGAAATCTAAAAATTAATAAAAATTATACCCCAATCAACTTGAAAAATGTATCTATGCTGTGGTGTGCTTTTGTAGAATGAATTGTAAATGGCCAGATTGTGTTTTCTGTTTCTTTGTCCCTAGATCTTTATCATGTTGAGGGCTCTCATTCACTATCTCTTTAAGCAGTTACATGGGTCTGAATTACACTGAAGTCCTAACCTCTGTGTCCCAGTAACTTAGATAGTAATTAATTATTTTTTTCTCTCTGATATCTCAGCAGCAGCATTATCTCTTTCTATATGGATTTAACACTATGGGCAGGCTGTTGAAGCAGCCACTAACTGTGACTTGCTAATTCCACATCAGTGGAAAAGAGGGTCAGCTTGTGGGTGAAGCTGAAATTTCAGTGGAAGTGACATAATACATTCCTTTCTGTTTTTACTCAAAAGTCCTAAGTCAAGGCCTGATGACCTTGAGTCAGGATAGACTCTTCTCTCCTTCAAGGTCAGACACTGGCCTCTTCTCCAGGCCAGAGGTGAGCCTACTTCTGCCTTCCTATACCTGCTGGGCACTTACTCAGAAAGGGTGCTAGTGCCAATATTTAGCAGATTCCAGGAATACATTCTAAATATTGTCCTCATTTGGCTATGGTGGTGCCTGGTTATAATCATAGCACTTGGTAGATAGATGCAAATGGATCAGGAGTTCCAGGCTAGCCTCAGCTACAGAGGTAGTTTGAAGACAGCCTGGGCTACAAAAGCCCTTATCTAAAAATAAGTAAACAAATAAACAAACAAATAAATAAGAAGACAAAGCTCAGTATTTGAACACAATAAGTTCTAGAATTTTACACTTTTCTTTCAGATGGTTCTGTTAAGTAACAATGATTCTTCACTGGTCATCAAATTTTAGACTTGCAAATTTTACAAAAGGTCATCAAGCAGAACCCCTAGGGAAGTGTTTTTGTGGGGTTTTTTTGTCTTAATTTTTGAGACCTACTAAGTCCAGATAGAAAATACTTGACATTTGCAATGGCCCTTCAGTGACTGTCAATCAGGACAGCCTACTGTGTGTATGGTTTACTCATATTCTATAATTGCAAGGCCTGAGAACATTTTCCTAATTTACCTAAGTCTTTTTTATCAAGTCTTTATGGAAAATACGTTCATCAGATAAAGCTGCTAAATTGCAAATTTGTACCCTTCAGTTTCATGATTTAGACATGCACTCAGTTACATGTTTTCTGC